CAGGGTCACGTGACTTCCGCTTTCGTAACAATACTTTTACTCAGGTAGAGTTTACATACGTCAATAGTTAGTGATTAATATTACTTTGGACCTGTGCCTGACCACCCTGCGTATGGGGGAGCTAGCCCATCTCAAAAGTAATATAGATATTTGTTAAAAATGGTACGAGTTTTAATTGATATGAATTTATTAGTGTAGTAAATCAGAATACCCGTTGTCTTTGGTTAGTGCATACCTGTCAAAGAAAGCCTTCCTTCACCCCATCAGTCATTAATGTCACAGCCTACTGACAGGCCGTCCAATAACATAATAACATAACAAGTACTGCCAATACATATTTGGTTTCACTTGTGTTTGTGTGTTTCTTTTTTTAATCTTTGTGTTCGATTTGTTCTTTGAGTAGCACGGAAATTATATCTTTTTATTGGTCTAATTAAGTTTAGAGACTGGCTGAATGGGTGACGATTAAAGCTTTATTAGAAGTCTAACATAGTAACAAATGTACAACGTTTTGACATCATTAGGTAAAAATAGTACGAAATACAGAATTCAAACGATCGGACACTGCTTAACGGCTTAATATAGGTTTCTCGGTTCGAGACTGCTAGTTTAGTTATTACATACTGTGAACATTTTAGCACTTGTCTTCGCTCTGATCAGCCGAAAAAATAATTTGTAGAAATTCATAAAAAATATATTACCGCTTTTCATTAGCTCAGTGGTAAACTTAAGGGCTTATAAGCTAAAAATCGGGGTGGTTTAATACCCGAGGCGGGTACAGTAGAGATAGTCGATTGACAAAGAGGGCCATTGTGTAGTTTTGAAGATAAAAACAAAATGTGGAATTTTAAAAGTAGTTTAGTAAAAAAATTTTTTAGTGTAATTTATTTGGAGTGAATCATGCGCTGATGATAATGGACAACAATTTTCATCAGTTTTTGTGCTCGATGTGAACATAAATAAGAATGATATATTTCCTTTTTAGATAATGTTAAAGTTATATATGTCAACGGCAAGTAATTAACATTACTTTGGACTTGTGGCTGACCACTCTGAGGAAGGAAGAGCCTATCCCACTCTTTAAAAAACTGTCTCTCCGACAAGCTGAATTGCGTATTGTCGCTTGTTTCAATAAGAAACAGACACGTAAAATATAAATCTGTGAGAATAGGCCTTTGGTGACGTCATAAATCATGTGACATTTACTTTGCCGTGTTTGTGAAATCTTGCTTTGTTTATAGAGTTTCTGTATTAGCCTTCCATAACTATTATTAGTATTTGTTGTCGGAAAACCTTCAAATATTAAAAACGTATTCTTTTACAAATACAAAGTTTCGAATGATAAAATTGGAAATATGCATCAATAACTTTAAAAACATTAACGATATTGATAATGTTGTGCCACTAGAGGGCAAGAAAAAAGATTCAAAGTGCAATTGCTTTTGCAGTGTGGTGATAATTTGCGCTGTTGTTCTATTTAATGTGATAATTAGAAGACTCTGTATAGTTAGTGTTACTGAGTGTAAGTTAATTTTTTGTTGTCTCGTAGTAAGATAATAAGTATAAAAATATTTGATTAAACAATTTATTTAATAATTGCTTTGCAAAACTTCACAAGCACTGCCCATGATGCAGTAAAATTGAAAAATTAAGCTATGATTAAAACTGATCATCCACACTGCGGTGATGACTGATACTCCTAGTCCTACTATTACTAGTTTTAGTAGTACCTAACACGTAAAGTCACTCGTTTAACGTATTGAGCTTTAGACTTGGGCCCTGAGACTTAATACTTTTGCGTTTTATAAGTTTAACGAAAAATGTGGGATCTCATAACAATACGAATAGCGTTAGTATTATTAGTGGCCTAGGAGTAGTAGGGTAAAGTAAAGACAGAAAAGTCTCTGCTCGGCTAAGTAAACTCACAAGTACTGTCTGATTCAAACTTTGAATAGAATTAACGTGTTCAGTGTACTAGCAGGGATGAAATTCTCAACAAAAAAAAAGAAGTAGAGATACTCTGCTGAGTGAAGTGGATGTGTTTTTGAAAAATAAAAAAAAATATATGTGTAAACATAAAAAGCAACAAAAGCAGCTCAAATAAGTCTCGGTACTAGTACTACCTTAAGAAATAAGTTCTGATACTTAGTACCAGTGAGTACCAGGAGAATTTTACCCCAGAGTACTGGTAGTAGTAAAACTGTCAGTAACTTATATTTTAAAAATCATTTTTGTTATAAAAGTCTTAGTATTAGTATTGAAAGCTGATTAAGGAATGCCTTTATGTCATGAATGTGGAAATGGACATTGTTTAATTTTTAGGACTATTTCTATGAACTTTCTAGATCTACATCATCATTGTTAGCAGCTTCCTCCAGCAAACAACTAAATTATAACATTAAAAATAAATCTTGCATCATTATAAATGAATATTCCACACATGGCATGTTTCGTTCCTAATCCTATGTAACATAACTTCAAATTTATTTATTAGTTGTATACTTCTTGCTCTGAAACCAGTTTTCATATGTTTTGGGATGGTTTGAAATATTTACAAAAGACTTGGTTTACCCATTTATATAACAGCCTTTAGTCTAATGTTATCTGACGTGAGGAAAATTAAAAAACTTGAACTTCTTTGGATGAACAATTTTATTAGCAGCTTGTATGGCATTTAAACTACAGAATAAATCTTCAGTGTCATACAATCTGCTAGTAAAAACTGTTCACCTAGAAAGAGAGAATTTTTACACTGTTCATAATCTTGTATTCTATATTGTTATACTAGCGTAAAACCCATCAAAAATGACTGAGCAAGTACTACCACTCCCATCTCATAGTATACCATAACCTCACGTTTCATAGCTAACTGAAATAAATACATTTTGCAAAATCCAGCTTGACCAACAAAGAGGCAGACAACTATCAGTATATTGCTTTGTAAGCCAGTCAAAATTAAGATCATTCATGAAATGAATTTGTGATGTATTCATTGAATAATTATTGGTAAAAATCAGTTAGATTAACAACTTCTAATATTTAGATAAGCCAGTGTGTTTTGGTAACACTGCATTCCAACAAAGGCTTTTATGTCATGTTGCTTAGCAAAAAAAGTATAACCTAATGTTGTTAGTCTATATATTGAAAGTATAAAATGAAATGTATAGACAATGATACTGGAAGAATATTTTTTATTAAAATGTTGGTGATATAACAGAAAATAGCTTAATTCAGAAATGATATAAAAGTATAAAATTGCATCAATATTTATACTTTCATGATAAATTTTTTTGCACTTGGCTCTAGGCTAGGTGATCCCACACTGTGTCTTTACTTTAGGCTTATTATACCAACATTCATCACACTTATAATTTCACAGCACTCCCCCCCCCCAGTCCCCTTGCACTTCTTCACTAAAATCATAATGGGCAGACAGTAATCAAACTATTTTATTTGGATAAATGCATTTGGGCTTTTATGATTACTCCTATTTCAAGAAATCAAGCATAATGTGACAGACACACTGGCTTTTATATAAGCTATATTAGTTTGTTTTATTAAGTATGCAAAATAAGCAAAACATTCAGCATGTCAGTAAAGTTGTGCAACAATT